CCCCCGCCGGCGCCTGCTGTAGCCGGTTCCAGGATGTCTCCACGATCTCCCCCTGGGTGCCCCGCCCCCCGCCCCGACCATCAGTGCCATCTCTGGCCTCACTAACCCACACAGATCTTCTTCTGCAACTTCTTGCCGATCTGGTCGATGGTCTTGAAGTCAGCCGTGTAGAAGTAGTGTTCGGCCACGGGCTCTGAGGCGATTTCCCTCAGCTCGTCCTCCACGGCATTGCCCACACCCACAGCAAACATCTTAAAGCCTGCCGAGAGGAACAGGATGAGTGACAGTGGCCATGGGGGACGGGGCAGCCACGGCTGAGGCTGCTGGGGAATGCCCGCGCAATCAACACAGACACCTCCTGGTGGCAGCTTCTGGAATTGCAGGCACAGAGGACGGTAGGAATTGCGGGACAAAGACAGCATCCGTTGAGATTCTGCTACCTGTCAGACCTGCACTGATTCCCTGTACTGGGAGCTTTATAAGTGCATACGCCCCACAAGTGTCCACCTGGTGGCTATTATCACTCTCATTAAATCGGCGATAAAACTGAGACTCAGGCTTGTCCCAAAGTGGGGCTACCTTCCAACAGTTGGTGTGTCCTTGGGAACATTCAGCTGGAAAATTTCCCAGCCCCACCTACATAAGAACCATCAGAACCAGCTGCTTGCTTTTCTGGGGCCTCCGTTTTCTCATCAGTATAAGAAAGAGGTAGGAGCGCCTGGGTGGCTCAGTGGGTTAAGCGTCCGACTTCGGCTCGGGTCATGACCTCGCGGTTTGTGAGTTCGAGCCCCGCATCTGGCTCTGTGCTGACAGCTCGGATTCTGTCTCCCTCTCTCTCTGCCCCACCCCCGCTCACTCTCTCTCTCTCTCTCTCTCTGTCTCTCAAAAATGAATAAACTTTAAAAAAAGAAAGAAAGAAAGAGTTGGGCAAACCGATCCCCCCTCGTTCACGTTGAACGTGGGTTGAGGGCAGCGAGCAGAACAAACTACAGTCGAGCTGTTCCATATTTGTCCTCCTGGCCATCAGTGGTGTTCAGGGTCCAGACAGCACCTACCAAGGTCCTTGGCCTTCTTGGCAGCATCATTAATGTAGTCCTGGCTCCGGCCGTCAGTGAAGACGATGCCCACCTTCTGGGCACCGGGCCTCGCCCCGCTGGACACGGTGAAGGAATTGTCAATGAGGTACTTCAGGGCAGCCCCGGTCATGGTGCCCTTCTCCATGTAAGACATGTTCCGCACAGCCGCCTTAATGTCCTTCTTCGTGTGGAAGCGGCCCAGCGGGAACTCCTGGCGGACGGAGCTGGAGTACTGCACCAGCCCCACTTGGGCCAGTTTGTCCGACACGTCCAGCGTGTCCACGATCTGATTGATGAACTTCTTCACCAGCTCAAAATTCTCCGGCCGCACGCTTTTGGATCCATCGATGAGAAAGACCAAGTCAGTGGCCGAACTGCCACCACGGCCGTTGCATACTGGGAAGGGCAGAAAGGAGAGGAGGCGAAGCTTAGGGACCGCTTGTTCCTCGCGACCGCTGGGTCGGGTACCCCTCACACACCAAGCTCTGTCCCGGGCATTATCCCGTCCCATCGCGTCCTCAGAACTCCCTGTAGAAAGCCAAGGCTCCTGGCCTCGTCTCACGTAGCATTGCAAACTGCAGCTCCAAAAGTCGCGGCACCAAGATTTGAACTCAAGACTCTGTAACTCCTTCCACCATTACTAAACCCGCCACCCACCGCGACAGAAAGAGGGCCACAGTCAGAAGATAACTTTCTGCAGACCCCAAGTTCTGGAAGGCATCGCTCGCCTTCGCAGATTGGTCCAGGAACAAAGGGCAGAGAGGAGGCTCCGAGGGGCTACCTAGAGGGTGGCCAAGCCCCAGCCCCTCCCCTCCCCACCCTCCCCCGGGGCTTGCCTGCCTCCAGCCCACTGACCGTTGCAGGTCTTGCCATCACTGTTCAAGGCGAAGCCCTCCCGACAGGCGCAGGTGTAGGAGCCCGGGGAGCTGAGGCACACCTGCTCACAGTCGTGGTCTCCTGTGACACACAGGTCTGACACCACTGTGGGGACAGGAGGAGACTCAGAATCTCATAGTCACAGGGCCTTGGACATCTCGGCCAGGATGGCCCTTCACACACCCAGAGAAACTGAGGCCCCCCAACTAGGTGAGGTCCAAGTCCCAGGCCCTCCGTCCAGGACCCGAACCACTGGCCGCCCCTATGCGGACTCTCTGAGCCCCGTCTGGTCCAGCCCCTCCCCTATTGACTCTC